GGGCACATGCCCAGGTTGAGGGCTCAGTCCCCAGTGGGAGGGGGTGCAGGAGGCAGCTGATCAGTGATTCTCTCCCATTATTAATGTTTCTATCTCTCTATCCCCCTCCCTTCCTCTCTGAAATCAATAAAAATATATATATTTTAAAAAGAAATATAAAATAATATATAAGGTTTCATTAATGGCAGGGTTTACATTAGTTTAGCTTTCCCTAGAGTTAACAGATGGTCACAAAATAAAGGTTCTATTATCCAATTAATTTAGCAAATGCCGGGTTAAGAAAATTGTCCAGATTCTGTACTTAGGATAGCAATTCCCAGCCCTATCAGATACATGGAGCCCTTGTTGTAAACATGTATCTTTGTAACATCTCCTTCACCATACTAAAACAAATTCAAAGTTATGTCCTACACAAATAGAATATCCAGAAAGCCACCACCACCACCAATGTATCCTTTATACATAAAGGCCAGGTGCACAAAATTCATGCACGGAGGGAGGGGGTGACCCCTCAGCCCAGCCTGCACGCTCTCTATCCGAGACCCCTCGGGAGATGTCTGACTGCCAGTTTAGGCCTGATCCCTATGGACATCCCACTCACAATCCGAGATCACTGACTCCTAACTACTCACCTGCCTACCTGCCTGATCATCCCTAACTGCCCCACCTGATGGCCTGGTCAACCTCAACTGCCCCCCCTGCTAGCCAGGTTGCCCCCAACTGTCTTCCCCCTTTCTCCCCCCGCCAGCCTGGTCACCCCTTTCTGCCTCCCCCCCTTCCCCATTGCTGGCCTGGTTGCCCCTTACTGCCCCCCTACATAGCCTGCTGTTCAGTCATTTGGTCATCTCTCATTAAGCCCCCTGCTGGCCTGGTCGCCTCATGCAGCCCACTGCTCAGTTGTTTGGTCGTCCCTCACTAAGCCTCTGCTGGCCTGGTCACCCCACACAGCTTGTTTGGTCGTCTGTTCAGTTGTTTTGGTTGTTACAGTCATTTAGGCTTACTACTATATATATAGATGCCTGGGAATGACTAAACCAAAAGACATAAGTAGTCAGACACTTGCATTTATCATGTTGAAGAATCATGGTGAATATGACAGCTACTCACTGTGGAATATTTCACCTGCCCCAGTGTTCAAAGTTGTGCTGTATTGGCAAATCAATTACATGCAGTGGCATTTGCTCATAATGTGCTTTTCTGAAATAGTAAAAACAATTACTTGTAAAGCTCCAAACAAAATGAAATCCAACCTTCCCTTAACTTATATGATCATTGTATGCCTAAGACATTCAGTATCTACAATGATAAAATCACAACTACTTTGTGCTTATACATAAAACAGCTAGGCCAAAAGCTTAATATAAACAGATTTTTAGCTACATGACTATAGGTATAAGTGTAAGTCCCAGGGAGCGAGGAACAACTCTTCCTTTCATGGGACTGTCTTTTACTGCAGTCTGTCTAGCATAAATGACCTCTTAGTCAATCAGGGCAAGAAAAACACTTTCACAAATTTATAAAACATCCCTAAGGGGGCAGTACCACTCTATTGAGATTCACTGCTTATAAGGCTTCAAAGAGTCTTTAATGTGATAACATGAAGACAAAAGTAGCTTGCCAATGCTTAACCATAGTATACATTTTCCCCCAAGTAGCTTCTGAAAGACTATAGTTTCACTAATCACACTTTGGGACATACTACTAGTAATCATTTTTAAAGAGTGGTTTAACAGTGAAAGCATACGGAGTACCTGCCACAGGTGAACAGCAATAGGAGGTGTTGGAGATATGTTTTCCAGAGATGAAAAGACTGATACTTGGCTGGGACTCCCAATGTTATCAATAATGCAGAAAAGACATCCCCCAGAAGACGAGAGGGAGCTCATAGGAACTTCCCAAAGGTACTCAGCACAGACACAGAGCCTGACTCATTAGTGCCATTCAGGATAAATGGTATTAAATTTTATATTTGGAATCCAGGCTGTTGCTTGGAAGTCACTTTTATGGTCCTTGAACATATTACTTCATAAATTTATTCTTCAAGGGCTATAAATTTCTCTATTCCCTTTTCCCCAAAAGAAATAGATTTATAGATCATTCCAGTGAATGAGGTGGATAAGGTTAGCTATTCTTTTCATTATCAATTCAATACACAAAATTACAGCAATGAAATGTTCATTTCCATTAGTCCTCCAAACCTATAGGTTTTACAAGCACTGAAATATGTTTAAATTGGAGGCAAACCTGGCTTTAACCCAAAACCTAATGTTTATTTAAAAAAAAAAAAAAAAAAAAAAAAAAGCCTCACTATTCAGCGTCTAGTGAGGCTAAAAATGTTCTCATTTCTACTCCAACTGAAAGAAATAAACTCTAGCAAATAATTAGATAAATGTTACTTAGAGCAATCAGATAAATGCTATTATAGGACCATAGAACCTTAATTACACTGTCAATATATTATCTCAACAGATTTTAAGATAAGTGTGAGAATAATGCTTCTAATTTTCCTAAGTATTTATCATGCATTGGTGCCATCTGGTGGACACTTTTAACTAAACTTAAAAATGATTATTTAAAAAAAAAAAGGGGGGGGTGCTTTTCCCCCTCGCTAAAAACAAAAAAAGGTAGAAAAGCACATTTTTGTTATTTTGTAACATAGTTAGTTTCTGTAATTTGGGGACCAGTGCATCCGTTCTATCAGCCTGAGGTCACTTACCACATGGCCATACCTCATCTTCATGCACACTTATCAATGAATTAAGTTACCACATTATTTGTAAAATAAATACTTAATAGTACTTGAAAATTTAATAAAAGAGTGACGATATATGCAATGTCTGAAATCAACAAGGGCTACTTATACAAGATATTTCAATAGAAAAGAAACAAAGTAAAGTCTATGTATAAGCCCAGACCAGCGATATGAAAGGATACTCAGCATGTTATCCAATAGTTAAAATGAGATATCACTTTACACCTATTAAGGCAAAAATTATTTTAAAAGTCTGACATTAGCAAGTGCTAGTGAAAGTATGAACAGAAGCCCCAAATATTGCTGGTAGGGAAAAAAATCTAGACATACTTAGTGAAGTATGTGTGCATATATCCTACAACCCAAAAATCACATTCCTAGGTATAACACATTACCCCAAGATTTAGAGGCTTAAAATGACAAACATTTCTCTCAATGTTTCTGTGGGTCAGGAATCCAGATGTGGTTTAGTGGGGTGCCTCTGAGTCAGAGTCTCTCAAAGGTCAGCAATCAAGGAAGGGTCAGAGGGACTGCAGTGATCTCCGGATAAATGGGGAAGTGCCAGCATCCAAGCTCACTCAGAGCTGCTGGCAGGTGTTAGGGCCTCACTGGCTTTAGGTCAGAGTTCCCTGCCACGTGGACCTTTCCACATAGCCCTCTGCCGAAACCGGTTTGGCTCAGTGGATAGAGCATCAGCCTACCAACTGAAAGGTCCCGGGTTCGATTCCAGTCAAGGGCATGTACCTTGGTTGCGGGCATATCCCCAGTAGGTGGTTTGCAAGAGGCAGCTAATAGATACTTCTCTCTCTCTTCTTCTCTGTAAAAACTCAATAAGATATATATATATATATATATATATATATATATATATATATATAAACATAGCCCTCTGCTTCCTCCAAATAGAACGAGAAATAGCAAGAAAAACAGAAGTCACAAATCTTTAGTAAACCTCCGATGTGAGATCTCATCGTATTTGCCATATTCTATTCATCAGAAGGCAATCACTAAGTCCAGCTCACATTCAAGGGAAGAGATTAAACACAGGCATGCAGATAGTAACTAAACTTATTGTGGTGATCATTTTGCAATGTATTATAGTATACAAATGTGAATCCTTAAGGTGTACATGTGAAACGAATATAATGTTGTATTTAATTATACTTCAAAAGAGGGGACGTGAATCACTGGAGCCATTTTAGAGGCTGCCTACCACACTGGATATACACCCCAGAAACTCTCAGCAGATCAACAAAAAAGGGAGGAAACTGTTCATTGCAGTATTGAGGCATGGGTAACAAAAAGGAATGGGCATGATTTGCATGGGCCAAAATCAATATACCATGAAATGAATATAATCAATTCTGTGACTAAGGGCATTAAAAACAAAGCCCAAAAGACAATGAGTAAAACAAATATGTCCCTGGCTCAGGCCAGTTTGGCTGTGACTGGAGCGTCAACTCTCAGGCTGAAGGGTCAGGGCTCAATTCCAGTCAAGAACATTTACCTGGGTTGCAGGCTCAATCCCTCACCCTGCTCAGGGGCATGTGTGAGAGGCAACCAATTAAACAGCAGGCGGAGTGGGGGGGACATAGGCAGCACTTTTGGTAAGCGAGCCCAGCCTGCCTCTAACTGTGCAGCAGCAGGTCAACTAAGGGCTGCAGCTTCTCATCTCTAGGTATCATCCCTTCATCTTCCTTTTTATTGTTCCATTCATCTTTTTTTATACTTTGTCAGTACAAAGAATAAAGACCATAGTGCTTTTCTGTTAACCTCATAATGGGACCCACAATTTTAAACAACTATAATTCCCATTCCAGAGAATGATTCAGAGACAATAAGAATGATTCAGAGTCACATCTGGTATTTGAACCCAGTAGACATCTGGCCCCTGAGCCTATGTGCTTACCTATATTGCATATTTCCTTTCACATATATATATTTCCCCATGATGTCATATAAAAGAAAGAAGTGTGACAGCATGGTCAAGATAGTTAAATAATGCCAGTAGCCCTTTTATTTTGTATCCTCATGCTTAGAAAGAAAATGTGTGTGGGGGGGGGAGGAAGTTACACAACAAAGTAAATGTTCCTTGGGCTAAAAATACAGAAGTAATTTAAAGGATAAATTGAGTGTAGAGCAAACTCCAGCACTGATTCAGTACTGACCAGATAGATGGTCCCAGCGTACAGCCTCGAGTTCCAGGTTCTGCTGTTAAACAACGGAATTATACAAGCAACTCTCTCCCTCAATTGTTTCCTGGCTCTTCGATTGATTTTTGCCTATAAACAGCAGTTTCCAGTGATCTGGCTCCAAAGAAGACAATTAATCATACTGACTTAGAAATTATTCCTATCTATAAATTGGGTTGTCAGCTTCCTGTGAAATTCACTAATACCAGCATTCCCAAGTTGTAGCAACTCTGCAACATCACAAGAGTATTGTGAGACCCATAGCCTATACACTAGACTCTAAAATGGCAGATTTATCAAGGCCATATAACTGTGCAACTCCTGACAAACAGCTTTTCTCTTAGCTACATTGCTGCACCTGTCAAAACCTATTTCAGCCAAAACCAGTTTGGCTCAGTGGATACAGTGTCCATCTATGAACTCGAAGGTCCCAGGTTCGATTCCAGTTAAGGGCATGTATCTTGGTTGCGGGCACATCCCCAGAAGGGGGTGTGCAGGAGGCGGCAGATAGATGTTTCTCTCTCATCAATGTTTCTAGCTCTCTATCCCTCTCTCTTCCTCTCTGTAAAAAATCAATAATATATATATTTTTTTAAAAAAAAAAACATATTTCAACCAGTAAGTTTCATTACTTAGAAAGACATGGCATCCAAAAGAGAAGACTACACAAGGTTAGTGGCCAACTATATTTTTCAGTGGAAAATTTGAAAAATACTTAAAAAATGCAATTCCAGTTTGGAAAACCACATGATACACTGTCATTTAAATATGACACTGATGCAATCATCTCAAGGAAACAAAGAAGGAGAAAATGTTTTTATTTTCATGCTTTTTAAAGTCTTGACATAGAACAAAGTAAACACAGACCACAAGTGAAAACTTTAAATATGGAGACAGAAAACAAGCCATACAGTAAGTTCAGGCCTTTATTCATAACTTCAGAATTAAGGAGTTCAATTTTAAAAATAAAAAGGAAAATGTTCCATTCAGCACTTACTCAATTTCCTTCTTTAGTGGTATACCTAGAATTTTTAAATTAGCTCTTAGTTCTGGCATATTTAGTAAATATGATCTCACTTACAAAAATAGAATCTTACTATTTCATTCTGAGAACACTTCAAAACCCCAGCCAGCTCTTTTCTTTCAAGGATGTGGAAGGTGTTCCTCATTCAAATCTGATTCATGGTTTTATAAAGCATGAAGATCATTCTTACTACTTCATCTATATGCTGGCTTCTAATATTCTTTGTGATGGTTAAGTGTTCAATGATAGAAACTTTATATAGAGAAAATCCCTTCCCTCTCAATTTGTAATCCAAAATTTTAAAAGAAAAATCATTGAAATGAAAGGAAGACATTTTAATGACATAAGTAGCTACTGCCCTAAGCTGCTGGCACAGGCAAAAATAACCAAGGTACAAATTGTTATTTAACCTTTAAATAATTAATCTATGTTTGCTACAAATGCACAAATAATTTATATATTTTCTTCTGATAAACTGCCAGGTCAATTTATCAACTTTTAAAGGAGTTAATAAAAACTATTAATTTTCCTCCTTAATGTCCAGTGATAAACTGAACCCTAATTTCCCTACCTACCCCAAGGACAATAAACTGACCTAAAGTGGATCAAAGTGCATAACAAGTTCATATTAAAATGATTCGTCATATGCTCTTTTACAAAAGCAATCAATACAAAAAGAACGTAAAGGCTTGCTTTATGTTTTCAGACTTAGGGAACCTGCAAGGAATCACAACTTTTACTCTAAGCTTTTAAATCCCATGTTAATGATATGTAAAAATACTGTGTAAGAAAAAAGGTGAACCAATCAAATCCTACAGATAAAATAGTCTAAATCTCAGTAATAAGAATATTCTCCATAATCTTTTATCTAAAATTTCTAAGCCATCTTTTTCAATGCTTTGAGAGGGCAATCAAAACAGTCTTATTTATTTAGGTTTAAAACTAAATTTCTCCTCTCTAAATATGAAGGCATAAATAAAATAGAAAATTTGGTTCTTTTGTCCAACATCATGAGCCCACAGATATGAAAACCATCCCCATGATCTCATTATGTCATCATCGAGGCACCTTCTTCCCCAGTAGCATCTTGAGAAATGTGAAGGTCTTCAAGCATCTCAGCCAGACTAATTCTAGGTGCTCCCTCATCATCTGTCTCACTCTCCACAGGAATGGTGGAATCTGAGAAAAAGCCACAAGGAGGATTTCAAATGAATGCAAATATGGAAATATGCAAATGCCAGCCCCTACCATCATTACTACTGTTTAACCATATTATATCCACAGCTCTTATATCATATCTAGAGCAGACATTTAAACATTCATTGAATGACTGAGCTGCATAAATAAATAAATATCTACTAGTAAAGGGGTCAACAACTTGAGAGATCATCCCAGGATACAAATGTGATATAGCAAACATTTTAATAAGATTTACTGTTCTGTAAGTTTTTAAAAAATAAATGTTTAACTAAAGTAGTTTAAAAAACACACAATAAAAGTCATTTATAGAATCAAAGTTTAAGGTACCAGAATACTTAATGTGGGGGAATACATCTATATAGTATAGAAGACACAAAACACTCAAATACCAACCTCTGTAAATGTTTACATTTTTTCTAATTGCCTCATCTTCTTCAAGATCTTCAAGGAAATCTTGGTATTGCCTTATAGAAGAATAAAGAAACATTTAAATATTAAAAAGTATAGTCATATTTTCTTTATTTTCAGAAGTTTAACATGTGTTACAAGTATTACAATCTTTAAAATAGTTTTATTTTCAAGTATACAGGTTAAATATTCTGATGAGTTTTTTAAAGTTTTTCTTTGGCCAGTGTGTGGCTCAGTGGTTGAGCATCAACCTATGAACCAGGAAGTCAGGATACAATTCCCGGTCAGGACACATGCCCAGGTTGCATGCCAGGTTGCCAGCTCAGTCCCCAGTAGGGGGCATGCAGGAGGCAACTGATCAACAATTCTCTCATCATTAATGTTTCTATCTCTCTCTCACTCTCCTATCCTCTCTAAAATCAACAAAATAAAAATATATATTTTAAGTTTTTTCTTTCAAAATTACATCAAACACTTTTAAGACTATAAATGAAATAGTCAAATGCATACTTATACCTAATTTATGAGTACATATGTAATACGTACCTACTGGTATTTTAAATTATAAGAGATTATGTTTTAGAAATAATTTAGAAAATCATAATTTTCGATGATGATATAATGAGATCATGTGGATGGTTTTCATATCTGTAGGCTCAGGATGTTGGACAAAAGAACTTTTCTATTTCATTTATGTCTTCATATTTAGAGGAGAAATTTAGTTTCACATACATTTAATGACACAATTTTATTTAAACTCTTCTTTTTTTTTTTAGATATCAGTGTCTTTACCATTAAGGCCACTTTTCAAATTATCCAATACACTTTACTAGAACACAGTATCTCCATTTCTCCTTAAGTTTTTTTGAAAATAGCTTATTTGATATCAATGAACCATATTCTTTTTATCCCAAGTCATAGTACTCATTTGCTATTACTATATTTTGTCTTTTCAAATAAACTATTTACAATAACACTGCAATTATCAGGTCATAACCCAAAAAATAATACCTAGATCTGTGTTAAATGTCATTATAGTCTGTTATACTAATTCTATCAAACATTGATAAGAAAATTAATACTGAGTGCAAGGATCAATTGTGTAATGACTCTAATATGAAAAGCATAAAGACTTATTATCATAAGGATTTCCTTTGAGACAAAACACAGGCTGAATGAAAAGTGGGACCTTTCATCATCTGTATCCATGTTTTCTCTCTCTCTTGCAAGCTCTTTCAGTTTCCAGTTTCTACGACGCTGACGTTTGGTACGGTCATAGCTCTTCTTGATTAATACCTATAAGTAACAAAAATATTTGCAAAGTTATTCAAAATGGGAACTAGGTAACACTGCCTCAAAAATCTAGCAAAAATAAATAACAAAAAGTTATGGGAATGCCAGGAAGTCAACAAACTGATGACAGTGGTTAGACGCCACTTCTTCAAAATAGACTTGCCCAGGCTATGGTATTTTGTGGAAGAGCCACATTTAAGGGCCCAAAGAGCCACATATGACTTGAGAGCTGCAGTATGCTGAACATGGCCTTAGGGGAAAAGAGTAGAAAGGGATCGAGAAGCAGTCAAGAGAACTTTTAATATTTTTCTGCATGTACTTTTTTGTATAATTGTTAAAATTTACTAAAATTTGCCGAAACGGGTTTGGCTCAGTGGATAGAGCGTCGGTCTGCGGACTGAAAGGTCCCAGGTTCGATTCCGGTCAGGGGCATGTACGTTGGCTGCGGGCACATCCCCGGTAGGGTGTGTGCAAGAGGTAGCTGGTTGATGTTTCTCTCTCATCGACGTTTCTAGCTCTCTATCTCTCTCCCTTCCTCTCTGTAAAAAATCAATAAAATATATTTTTAAAAATATATATATATATATAAATAAATAAATAAATAAATAAATAAATAAAATTTACTAAAATTTTTCAGTAATTGAAAAATGTTTTTCTTCATACAAAAAACTTCAGGTGTTTCGTATGTTTACACAGCATCATTCAGTTTTTAACTACCATTCACGTAAGTCATTCTGAAACATTATCACAGACACTTTTTCTCCCCTTTATTCCCACTAATTACAAAACTATTATGTATTATTCACAACATATGTCCTAGAACAGTTTAATAAATTGCAGAATGAATAAATAAAATAAATTTACACAATACGAAATCTTATAAGACCATCATGATCTGTTTTTATGACCTACTTAGAAATATCAACTTACACCTAAGCCATGCTTCTATATCTTAAATCAATTAATTTAACAGAAGCCTAACTGGGTGGTGAGGAGAGGAGTCCACCTTATACCATGACTTTATTCTGCCCACAGTTAAAGGGATTAATGTTTATTTTAAAAGATTAAGGAAACAGGTCTTTCACATTTACTGTTGCTCATGGCTCTTATAAACTCATGCTAGAATTTAAGTTTTATTTTCAAAGGTCAGATTCTTTCTCTAAGACTTGCTACTATGAAGATCACTTTCAACTGTAATTATATTCCAACCAGAAAAAGAATTTAATCCTAAATGCCTTCCAAACTGAACATTACATGAAATAAGCTGAGCCTAAAAGAATGAACCTGAATAAACTATAAAGGTCATTGACTTTAGCTGCAAATTTCTTTTTTTCTCTACCAATAGTTATTTTGACAGAATATGAAAATTTAATTATAAGAGCAACAAAAGAACTCTTTAAATCTTGAGTTTTCCCTACTAAGAAAAATCATATGAAACAGCAACCTTCAACCTTTTTCATCTCATGGCACACATAATCCAGTTACTAAAATTCTGTGGCACACCAAAAAATATATTTTTTACCGATCTTCCAAAAAGTAAGTATATTTTTTATTCATTCATATCAGACGGCTATTGTTGTGTTGGCTATAATATTTTTATTTGAGAATCTAGGAGAATAGAGGTCAGTGCATCTAATAGTCAGGTATTGCAAGTTTTAAAAAATCTTATGGCATACTAATTAAAAAGTGATAACTTAAAATGAAGGCCTTTGCTATTATACCTTAAGTGCAATTTCAAAAGAAACCTCTAAATTGATGTTATTTTTTAAAATGTGAACTTGTGCATCTTAGGCTTAAGAGTTACATCAATCCTCTTTAACACAAGGAAAAAAAGAAAAAATCTAAAGCCTTACCACATCTGGGACTCTATCAGAGTTCATTTTGTTGACATGTTCATCATTTACGTTACAGTTTGCCAAATCAAACCTAAAATGAAAATAATAAAACACTTAATGGCAAAAACATTTTCCCTTTCCAAGTAACTTTTTATTTTATGGATAATCACCTAAAAGTTCCTCCTCAGATCAAACATTTAATATGCGTTAAATTTCAAAAGTTTTGCACTGTACAAATACAGTGAACAAGCTTCTACATATCATAGTAAAGATAATGTACACTAAATCTGAGTTTTACATATCTATTACTCTCTATCTCACCGTGTATTTTTAAGAGTAAAATACTTACGTATCAGTCTAAATGAAAGTTAGATTGTTCAATTCAGTTTATAATAAAACAAAAAAATACCCTCATTCTCTAGTAAAACTAACTAAAACCCTAAGCGCAAAAGTAATGTTTAAGGCATGATGATAACTTCTGCATCAGAAAGGGCTATCCTATGCCTGTCAAGGCCTCTTACATACATGGCTGCCATTTTGTAAAAGTGAAATATCTGAACAGCAGCATATGCATAATAAAAATTACCCTCAAAAAGCTGTATATATAATGTAACCATACAACCTCAGAGTTCAGTTACTCAAAATTTTGGAACAAACAATGCTTTAAGATGATGGCCAAATGGAATAAGTATGGGTTTCTGTTCAATCCACACTTAATTTACTTATCAATAGTGGGAACTTTTAAGTTTTCTTTTGGAATAAACTCTGGTATTTTATAGATAGCTTTGTTGAATCCAGAAGAAAATCTGTAATGCAAACTGAAAGCTGAAAATATTGTAAAATAATACAAACCCCAATACCAGGTCCCCAGGATTCAGAAGATGTCCCAAATGAGTGCGACAAAAATACTGTTTATCTGTATCCATTTCAGATGTTTTTTGTATCCAGACTTCCCCAAGGGTATGCTTAACAGGAAAAAAAAATGAAACTTAAAATGCATTTCTTAGAAAATTTAAATACAATGATTTTGGTTTTCTAATTTTCATTTTAAAAACAAATTATTTTATTCTTCAGATCTTTGAAATACTGTCAAATTAAGAAATTACTTAAGTATGAATATAAAAGATTCCTAAGAAATTAATAAAATAAATATTCTTAAGATTTAGTCAAAGTGCTATGGGCACTGCCATCTTTAAGGGTAGGGAAGTCAATTACCATATTCCCTCCTTACTGGCTGTGGGCAGCACCATCTATGCAACAGCGTGAGGGTCAATTAGCATATTCCCTCTTTATCAGATAGGATACCAATGTCAACTAAAAACAGACATATATAAAAAAATTTTAAACATTTTAAAAATTGATTTTTAGAGAGAGGAAGAGAGGGATAAAGAGAGAAACATCGATGTGAGAGTGAAACAAGGTTGCCTTCTGCACACCCCCTACCAGGGAATTGAATTGGCAACCTTCTGGTGTACAGGAGGACGCCCATCCAATTGAGCAACACTGACCAGGGCGACACATAAAGAATTTTCATAAAAAATGTTTTCATGAGGAGATGGACCAATACAGACTGAGCAAAGAGAGTAATTGGGAAAGTAGGGGAATCTTAAGCCCAATATTCCTCAATGGGACACAGTGAAAGCAGTCTTGAGAGGGATGTTCATAGCTCTACAAACCTACTGCAGAAAACAAGAAAAAATGGTAATAAATTACCTAACCCTACAACTCAGAGAGTTAAAAAAAAAAAAAAAAAAGAGCAACATGAAAAATCCAGTGTAAGCAGAAGGAAGGAAATAATAATGATCAGAGTGGACATAAGCAACATAGAGACCAAAGAAACAATGCAAAAGATCAACAAAACCAAGAGCTGGTTCTTGGAAAAGACAAATAAGACTGATGAACCTCTAGCCAGGCTCACCAAGAATCAAAGAGAAAGGATGCAAATAAACAAAATCAGAAGTGAAAGAGGAGAAATAACAACAGACCCCACTGAAATACAAAGGATTGTTTAAAAAAATACTATGAACAACTCTATTCCAACAAACTGAACAACCTGGAGGAGATGGACATATTCCTAGAAAAATACAACCTTCCAAAACTCAATCAGGAAGAATCTAAACATCTCAATAGGCCAATAACTATGGAAGAAATGGAAGCAGTCATCAAAAAGCTTCCAGCAAACAAAAGCCTGAAGTGAGATGGCTTCACAGGGGAGTTTTACCAAACATTCAAGGAAGAACTAAAACCTATCCTCCTCAGACTATTCCAAATATTTTAAGAGGAAGGAACACTTCTAAGCTCCTTCTATGAAGCCAGCATCACCCTAAATACCAAAACCAGATAAAGACAACACAATGAAAGAGAATTACAGGCCAATATCCCTCATGAACATATAGATGCCAAAATCCTCAACAAAATTCTAGCAAATCGGATCCAGCAGTATATCAGAAAGATCATACACCATGACCAAGTAAGATTTATCCCAAGGATGTAAGGATGGTACAATATCCACAAATCAATAAACATGATACATCACATAAACAAATTGAGAGATAAAAATCACATAGTCATATCAATTGATGCAGAAAAAGCATTTGATAAAATCCAACACCCTTTCTTGATAAAAACTCTCAGCAAGGTGGAATAGAAGGATCATACCTCAACACAATAAAAGCTATATATGATAAACCCACCGCCAACATCATACTCAATGGACAAAAACTAAAACCATTTCCCCTAAAACAGGAACAAGACAGGGATGCCCACTCTCACCACTCCTTTTCGACATAGTAGTGGAAGTATTAGCCATTGCAATTAGACAAGAAGAAATTAAGCTGTCCTTATTGTGAAGCCTCGTGATGACTGGTACCATGGATCCGTCTCTCGTCCAGTGGGGCGAGCTGGGCCCTCCCTGGAGAAGAAACCCAGGTTTCCCAAGATATGTGATCAGTGCTGGGGCCCCACCAGCAGGCGAGGGGATCTGAAGGCAGGTGCTGGGCGTGTAGGCCACAGGGGCATAGGCCACCAAGGAGACAGAACTGAACCTCACATCACCCTGCTTGGCCCCAAAGGATGGCTGGTTAGCCAAAGATGGGTAAGATTACTCAAGGAAGAAACAACCTAAGACAGGCACAGTCACGGAGGGGCCATCAGGAGAGGGGGGAAAAAACCTGTCCTTATTGGAAAAGAAGAAGTAAACCTGTCCTCATTTGCAGATGACATGATATTGTACATAAAAAAAAAAAAAAAAAAAAAAAAAAAAAAACGAAAGACACCATCAAAAAATAGACTTAATAAATGAATTTGGCAACATAGCAGGATACAAAATTAATGTCAAGAAATCTATAGCGAGGTAAACATCTGCCGCCTCGCACAACAATTTCAAAAGTACACCTAAAAGACAAAACGTCTATCACCCAGAATCACAGGAAAGCTGGCTGAGTGGAAGTTTTACAACCAGAAGGAAAGAGAAAGGAGCACAAATGCTGAAAAGCTGAGGCACAGGATTTGGGCTGTGGCAGGCAACTGGGAAGGTGGCTTTTTTTCAACCCGAAGGGAGACAAGCTCCCAATCACTCTGAAATCCAGTTTCTGGGGACACACGGGGGGACCCAGACGCCTATGAGGAGAAGCTGCACTGTCGGCCATCAGGTCGGAAAGTGAGGGTGACGTTTTTGCAGAGGTGCACTCAGTAATCATTGTTTACTGTGCTGGAGCACGGGACTTAGGGACTTGGAAAGGCAGAGAAGGCTGGCTGGCAGCCATCAGTTTGCCACACCCTAACCTAGTGACGCCCTAAGACCCCGCCCCACTCTGAGACCCGCCCCACACATTCTACAAACCCGCCCAGGCTCCACACAGTGGTTTTTGCATATAAATGGCCTGCCCTCTGGCAGCTTAACAAAATAAACTGCAGTTCCAGTCAGACTGCTCCAAAACCACCTAATCCCAAGCAAAGAGGAGAAAACTGTAGTTCTTGCTGTAGCTCTTGCTGGGTAGCCTCAGACAGTAGCTGATCTGCACACCACTGGAGATCCAGAAACTAGTGTACCTAGTGGTCAGTGTGAGACAACACCAGATTTCAAATACTCTCATAAGGCACACATTCAAGAGGCAGACTCAGTGAGCACCAAAACCCTACTGGAACAAGTCCTACCCCATAAACGTGTCTCCAGCACAGCAATTCCTCTGTTATAGACACAGTGGGACCTCACAGCCAATTGGCCTGGAGGTTAATTCCTCCCAGTGATACCAACAACAATCAAGACTTCACTACAACAAGGCTGTCAACATAGTCCACAAAGGGGAGCACCAAGAGTGTCCACCTCAGGTAACTGGGAGGCTGACCCATTGAACCATATAGGACACCTAGCACACAAAGCCACCCTACCAACTCAGGGAAGCAGCAAAATGAGGAGACAAGGAAACAGATCACAAACGAAAGAAATGAAGAACAAACGACTGGATACAGAGTTCAAAACCACAGTTATAAGGTTTTTCAAGAATTTCCTAGAAAAGGCCAATAAATTTAATGAGACCCTCGAGGATATGAAAAAGGACCAACTAGAAATTAAACATACACTGACTGAAATAAAAAATATTATACAGAGACCCAACAGCAGACTGGAAGAACGCAAGAATCAAGTCAAAGATTTAGAATTCAAAGAGGCAAAGGACACTCCTCCAGAGAAGTAAGAAGAGAAGAGAATGCAAAAAGTTGAAGATAGTGTAAGAAACCTCTGGGACTTCAAGCATACAAACATCAGAATTATGGGGGTGCCAGAAGAGAGAGAGCAAGACACTGAAATCTTATTTGAAGAAATGATGTCAGAAAACTTTCCCCACCTGGTGAAAGAAATAGAATTACAAGTCCAGGAAGCGCACAGAACCCCAAAGAAAAGGAATTCAAAGAGGACGACACCAAGAGACATCATAATTAAAATGCCAAGGGCAAAAGACAGAGAGAGAATCTTAAAAGCAGCAAAAGAAAAACAGTTAGTTACCTACAAGGGAGCACCCATACGATTATCAGCTGATTTCTCAACAGAAACTATGCAGGCCAAACAGGAGTGCAAAAAATATTCAAAGTGATGAATAGCAAGAACCTACAAACAAGATTATTCTACCCAGCAAAGTAACTGCTTCTAGATATAAACCTGGATTGTAAATAGTTAGTTTTGAATTCATGCACATCCCCCTCTCCCTGCATGCCCTGTTTTCTGTACTCTATAAAACCTTGTGTGGCAGCAAAACAATAGCACTGGTTGCCCCTTCACCTGCCCATCCCCCAACTCCATGTGGCCACTCTGGAAGTGTGCATGTAAGTTCTAAGCACTTGTCTTGCACAGCCAATCCTCCAGATTATTTCTTTGGAGTCCACAAACAATATGCTGAGGTCTGCCGAAACCGGTTTGGCTCAGTGGTAGAGCATCGGTCCGCAGACTGAAAGATCCCAGGTTTGATTCCGGTCAGGGGCATGTACATTGGTTGCGGGCACATCCCCGGTAGGGAGTGTGCAAGAGGCAGCTGGTCAATGTTTCTCTCTCATCGACATTTCTAGCTCTCTATCTCTCTCCTTTCCTCTCTGTAAAAAAATCAATACAAAATATTTTTTTTTAATTAAAAAAAAAATATGCTGAGGTCTTCTGGGACCTCAGCACTTTCCATAATAATATGTTAACACTTTGATTATGTAGAGAATGTTCCCATGTTTTAGAAATGCAAACTGATGTATTCAGTATCCAATAAAATAAAGAGGTGATATGCAAATTGACCCTCACAACCTCACAAGATGGCTGCCTATGACCAGACGGGCAGGGAGGTGAGAGATGACCAAACTGAACAACCTGCTGCGTGGAGCAACCAGGCTGGCAGGGAGGGGTTAGTGAAAAACAATCAAATGACTGAACAGGCAGGCTGCATGGGGCGACCAGGCCAGCAGGAAGCGGGGCAGTTGGGAGCAACCCGGACAGCAGGGGGAGAGAGGGGGACAGTTAGGGGTGACCAGGCTGGCAGGGGGTTAGGAGTGATTAGGCTAGCAGAGGGGGCAGTGAGGGGCAATCAAGCCAGCATGCAGAAGCCATGAGGATGATCAGGCTGGCAGGGGAAAGCAGCTGGGAGCAGCCAGGCAGGCAGGTGAGCAATTAGGAGCCATCAATCCAGAAATGTGAGAGGGATGTCCAACTGCCAGTTTAGGCTCAATCCCCGGGACATCCCCCAAGGGGTCCCAGGTTAGAGAAGGTGCAGGCTGGGCTGAGGGGAGCGCCCCCTGCATAAATTTTGTGCACCAGGCATCTAGTTTACTGATAATACAGCTTTCATAAAAGATTAAGTTGTCACTTGATTCTCTTGTAGAAAAGTAAAGCAAGAAAATGTTTTAACATAATAATAAACTTTTTCTAAATGTTTCACATTAAACAAAAAATAAATTTACCAGACAGTATAAGCCTGATAATAATCACCACAATTACCATGTTAAAAGCAAAAAAATATATAAACATGGAATACATTTTTAATCTAGTGTGGTGTTTTATTTGTAAACACATTTTAGAATTACTGGAACCAAAACAATAATTTGGGGAGGAAAAAAAAGATGTGCAAGACAGTACTTACCTTTTTTGATATCATTCCAGCACCTGCTTTGCGTTTTAGATCTCGGACTATGCTGCATTCCATCACAATAAACTCCTCTAGCTGTTTGGGATGGCATAAACTATTGAAAGGGTGACTCCAGAAAGTGCTCCCATCAATATCTGCCACTAAGAATAAACATAGACTACTAAAGAACAAGAGAAATGAAGTGTTTTAAAAATCAACAAGTGGTATAAGTAGGAATAATTTGGTATGTACGAACTGGGAAGCATGCAGTCAATAGGAACAACAAGCAACTCACTCTCTAGAGTCACCATTTACTCCTATAAATCGGCCCAAACTCCTCACAGCTCAAGAGACTATCAGGTGTCAAATATTATCTTTAAGAAATTACTAACATCACAACACCACAAGGCTAAGTGCCTTTAATATAAAGTCAGATACAATCAGTTGTATAGTTGTCTCATGGGTTAGCATTTTATTTCAGAAACATTATCAGTTGTCTTAGGCACTTAATTTATGGAGAAGTTTTACCTGACAGATGTTTATCCCAATATTGTAAAAAAAATTAAAAAATAAAAAAAACCAGCCTCTGCCTGATGAATTCTAATCTAATTGACAGGGATAATAAATGACTTTTGGGGAAACAGCAAAATAAACTCGATTTTTTATAACAGAAAACTTATATTAAAAATAAAAAGTGAAAAAAAGATCAAGAAATAAGAGATGCAAACAAGTCCTGAGGAGACACCTATCAATATGGGATCTTCTTTAAAAAATAGTTTTTATCAAGGAAATGTTAAAAATTATGTGTAGTAATGATGAAATTAGTTAAAATTCATATTTAAACTAAATGTTCTACCGAATTACAAAAAGTTAACTTTCTAAACTTTAATTAGTCACAAAAGTAAAATGAGGTAAATAAGTCAATTTCAGTAAAAATAAATGGCATATGCTGTGGCTGGTTTGGCTCAGGGAATACAGCATCGACCTGTGTACTACAGGGTCCCAGGTTCAATTCTGGTCATGGGCACATGCCCAGGTTCCAGGCTCGAGATCCCCACTAAGGGGCATGCAGAAGGCATGGTTCTCTCTCATCATTGATGTTTCTCTCTCTCTCTCCCTCTCCCTTCCTCTCTGAAGTCAATAAAAATATATTTTTTTAAATAAAATAGCATAAAATTAGTACATTTTTAAAAGTTCACAGAATTATTTCTTCAAGTAAAAAATACAAGGTTATTTATCAAAAGCTTTAAAAATTAGGGTTTTGTAAGAAACAAGAAACAATAGTAAAAATGTTAACTAGTTTTTCAGAATATTATTTAAAAATATGATAAAATTAACAATATAAATTATTACTGCTTACCAGATAGAACTGTCAAGACAAACAGTTCCAAAAACTTACCTTGTAGGGTATTTGGATCTATGAGATGGATGGCACTGGTTACGCGAATACACACACAAATCTGATTCATATTTCCCAAGCTTTGTGCCAGTTTTGGAGACAGACAAACAACATTATCCTAGACATAAGAACTCACATTTAGAGTGAACTAATCTTAAGTAACAGTCTCCAAAAAGCACTCATCAATGAATATCTGATTCAAATGCATTTGCTCAAATTAAAACATTAAATTTTTAATTCTGTGTATCAAACAAGGGCCTTAAAAAAAGAATTTTTAGAGAAACAGAAAACAAGCTATACCTTCTTAAAATGGGCATATTTGTCTTTTTTTTTTAACATATATATTTTATTGATATTTTACAGAGAGGAAGGGAGAGAGATAGAGTTAGAAACATCGATGAGAGAGAAACATTGACCAGCTGCTTCCTGCACGTCCCCCACTGGGGATGTGCCCGCAACCAAGGTACATGCCCTTGACTGGAATCGAACCCAGGACCCTTGAGTCCGCAGGCTAACGCTCTATCCACTGAGCCAAACCGGTTTCGGCAGCATACTTGTCTTAATAAAAATGCTTTTAATTTTTTTTCATGTCATATCCATCAAGCTATTAATTTATTTCAATTTTATTGAAGTGTGAATGCTTACCACTCTATGTTAACATTGTACATCCTAGGCAAAGTATTAAGTATCAGAAGGAGAGCGATTTTCTAAATCTACCTGTGACTTCTTTCAATCTGCATAAAAAACATATTTCAGGGGAGCCACATATTTCTCTTTTAAGGCTACATTAACAATATGCCCCAAACAGTACACCTCTATGTGTACATTGGGAAATAATACCAGTAATGGGATTATCTGTTTATAAACTGTATTTTATCTAATAAAGAGGGAATATGCTAATTGATGGTCACACCCTCACAAATATGGCGGTGCCCACAGCCAATGAGTGAATACGCTAATTGACTGTCACGCCCTCAAAGATGGAGGCACCCACAGCCACAAGATGGCAGCACCTAGCCCCTTCAGCCCCACCAGGGCAGCAGGAGCGAGGCACAGCCAGGCCTGCCCCCATATGGGTCCGGTCACTCCATGTGCCTGCCTCAGAGTCCCCCAATCTTCTCAGCTTCCTAGCAGCCCAGGGCCAACCCGAGGTGCAGGCAAGCTGCCAATGGCAGCTGCCCAGGGCCACCCAAGGCTCAAATAAACAGGGCCAGCTGAAGCTTGCACTGCTAGCAGTGGCAGCAGCAGAGGTATGATGGGGGTGTCACCTTCCCCTGATCACCAGGTCACCTCCTGCCCCTGAGGGCTCCTGGACTGTGAGAGGGGGCAGGCCGGGCTTAGGGACGCCCCTCCAGTGCATGAATTTTCATGCACCAGGCCTTTAGTTAAAATATAAAAGAATATGGGTTATATTTTAAGCTGCATCTATTCATAATCATAGGTTCCTCCACTAAAAGGATATCTGCATATCCCTAATAGCACCTAGTCCAGTAACTTTCTTTTTAACTTAAGAGTCTCCAAAGATGAATGAAAATACTATTTTACATGGGTGTATGCATCCAGTTATCTGTATGAATCACTCAAAGTACTTTATACACAAGGTCTCAAATATGCCCTCACACCTAGATTTATATTTCCTTTTGTACCAGTAAAATGTTCAGTTTTAAATCAGGGGTTTGCAAAATATGCCCCACAGGCCAAATTTGGACCACAGTCCACTTCTATGGAACACATCCTCAGCCATTCCTTTACCTATTATCTATAACTACTTTGTGCAATAGCAAGAGTTGAATTGTTGCAAAGGAGACTATATGGACTAAAAGTTGAAAATATTTACTATCTGGCCCATTACAGAAAAACTTTGCTAACCCTACTTTAAGCCATCATTTCATCCCTGAAATTGCATTTACATTATAAATTGGCAATAATAGCTTTAAAGCTTAAAAGTCACAGACCTAGGTACAAATAAATTGTGGCTTCATCAAGCCATCAATTCATCCCTGAAATTGTATTACATTATAAATTAGCAATAATAGCTTTAAAGCTTAAGTTGCAGACCTAGGTACAAATAAATCCTGGCTTCATCATTTTACAGTTGTGTAACTCTGGTCATCTAATCTCCGGAAGATTCAATTACCTCATCTTCAACATACTAGTATAATTTACCCTGGTTATTATGAGATATAAAGAGGTGAAATATATTCAAGTACTTAGATATTAACTTATACAGAATGCTCAGAATAAATTATGGCACTTAATATTATTAGCTTTAAATATCAACATATAAAATATTGCAGAGACCTCTAGAGACATAATCCTTAGCATAGTCCTCTGTACACTAGATCTTCAATAACTATTTGTTAAATTTTAATCCACTTATGTTTTTAGACCTTAGTACAATTAAATTAAATGATAACCTACACATTTCAAGTGTTATTCATATTATGTTTTTAAATCACAAAAATAATTCTATGGTCTCATTTCTACAATACTGTTTATTTTCATCACGCTAAAATCTAATTTGAACATATTCCAAACTAGTTCACTGATATTTATTTTAATGGCATTTCTGTATTAAAGTTTCATAGAATTGTCATGTATCCACAAGGATCACAAATTTTAAGGAATAAGGACATTAAAAAACTGAAATAGGCCTTTCTATACACTCAAAGAAAGGGAATGCCAATTTTAAGTGTAATTTCTTTTTAACATCTTTTTCACATGGTTGTGGTGTTAGAAATCATTTATGAAGGAAGTTATTCTAAAATTTTAACAAACCCAGAAGGAAACCAAAAGCTAATCATTACATATAAACCAATTAATTACTTGTACTCTTTATGGACAATGGATTAAATAAGAAAAAGTACCTTGCATATTGGAACAATTTCCATAGAAAAAGTGCTTTTGTAATTGTATGTGTTACTATGAATATCCTGAGAGATCAGTCTCTGTGAGGCTTTGTATCTATTAAGAGAAAAAGTTAATAGTAATGAAAAGACAAATGTCTAACTTTCTAAGGTCCCGAAATATCAATTTTCATCAAATCCAAACATTACCAGTAAAAGTCTGAAACAGCTTTCTGATATCCGCTACAGTGAAGCCTAATTTCATCCATTTACATTTCAAACCTTCACCAATATGACTGCACCCAATTATTTTCAACTTTATCTACTAAAAACTTATAAACACTCCCTTGGCTCAGACCATTCTAATCCATATGCAGTGTCTATTAAAAGATAAACTAATATCCATAAGACTTTGTTCACACTAATCTCACTTTTCAACATAAATTCTACCTTTGAAAATTTCCCATTTTAGGAGCCCTTTCTCCTCTATGAAGCTTCTCCCCAAAGCTCTCTACCCCTTTTTTCTGTTCTCTTATTTAAAGATATTCAATCAATCGTTTGGCACTACAGTGCTTATCCCCAAATGTGTTCTTAGGGTAATACTTCCTCCCTTAAAGTGACTAAAACAAATAAGTGTTCACTAATTGCGTAAGTATTCCTCCTACAATTTTAAATGCATACATACATATACATATATATATGCCTAAGCAACAGAACCAAACGACTGAACAACCAGCCGACCAGTCACTATGATGCATACTGACCACTAGGGGGCAGACATTCAATGCAGGAACTGGCCTCTGGTAATCAGCGCGCTCCCACAGCAGGAGCGCCTCTCAGCTAACCGACAGGCAGCGGACGCCGGGTTCGTGCCGTGAAGCATAGCTGTGGCGGCACAAGCCTCTCCGGTCTCCACAGCAGTGCTACTTGAGTGGCAGCAGCGGCAGGCGCGGTAGGGCCAGGAGGAGCAGGAGTGGTACGGTGCCTGGCCCAGGTTCAGGCTCCTCTCTGGCTACCTGCTGCTTTGCGCACTACTACATCCTCAGGGGATGTCAGACTGGCAGTTTAAACCCTACAATCCCTGGGGATCATGCCAAAACTGGCAGCTGAATATTCCCTGAGGGGTCCTGGATTACAAGAGGCTGCAGTCCAGGCTAAGGTACCTCACCATTGCACAAATTCGTGCACTGGGCCTCTAGTTTTAGTATAAAAGAGGCTCTTTCAGTGTAAAGTATGGATAAGACCTATATCCACTCCCCACTGCTTGGATTTAATTAATCACATTTAGGTTCAGAACATACCTACAGGGAACTGTACTCTGAAGAAATTCTACCATCTTCTGAGCGTGCTGCTTTGAAGAATAATAGAAATCTAGTCCATCTTAAAAAACAAACACACAAACATGAAAATAATTCTGCAAAATAAGATTTTCCTCTACTAACATGACTATATAACAAATCCTTTAAGAATAGCTATTTCTAAACCTGTACTTTAGAGACTAGAAAAACAATGTGCTGTCTACCAACAGCAAGCACTGTTAGCAAGAAATTTAAGAGTGTGCTTAAGAATATTTATATTTTTTACTATTAATTAAAGAAATACTCATCCATCGTCTAGTTGTATAAGTATGCTACATCAACAGCAAATGATAAAATATGCTCTAAAGAGCCATTATAAAATTATGCAAAAAATTTTAAATTCCATCTTCAAGAAATCTAATTATATCATTTGTTTACCACTGTTTATTATTACTAAGTTTAGTCTTCTGATTTAATATATCCATAATAAATGCCTTTAGGCATATGAAAAACAAATATCTACAGAATAATTAACTTAGAGTTCTCAAAAAGAACTTTCTTTCCATCAAAAACTGATCTCTGCTTAAAACAAATTTCCAATGAATTTTCTATCATAGTACTTGACAATCTATTAATGTAGTTACTGGTTTAGTCATCTGCTAGCTACTTAGTATATATTTAAATTAAAACAGAAAAAAAATAAAAATTCAGTTCCTCTCTTGCACTAGGCACGTATCAAGTATCCAATATTCACATATGGCTATTGGTTACATACTGAACAGTCCAGATAAAGAAATAAGACATTTTTCTTCCTAACAGAAAGTTCTTTTAAACAGTACTATTTTAGATATTATCAGTAAAAGACTCCTTAGGTTAGCTGAAATAAAATTCTGACATCATTTCAAAAGACTTTACATTTTAACTCACCATGAATTTCTTTGATACGAAGTGTATTCTGATGCATTCCATACTTCAAAATTAACTGTTCCAGATAGTAGAAAGTTTTTTTGTGCAAAGTCTAAACATAAATGCATTATTAAATTAATACATGAATGCAAAAAAAAAAAAAAAGCTATCTATAGATATAGCACACAGATTTTAAAAACAAAATAATCTTTAAAGATTATCTAAAATGCAATAGTGATCTATTTCTAAAGGTGGATGCTCTAGGGATTAGCCCTGGTGCATGAAGGATCTGGGGGAAAAGGTTTTATTATAACTGACAAATATATACAAACTGGAGGATTCACTCATCATCTTTCATTACCTTTTGCCTAACTTGAACCACAGCCTTCCAGAAATCCTTAGCTTCTACTCTATGGCAATCTCCACACATCTGGGGCTGAACAACATAATCCACCACGAACACTTGCTGAAGGATAGCGCCATTCATCACCTGATTTAAAAAAACAACAACAATCATACTCCTTCATCCTTTCCTTTTGTTTAATAACAAATCTTTTTCTTAAGACACTTTTAATATTTAACTCAAAATCATTATTCACTAATGCTTTGAGAATATCAATAATCACTTTAAGTCATATGAATAAGTTATACTATTTCAAGAAAGATATATAGGTTTAATTTGTAGTATTTATTACTATATTAACATTTCAAATTTACCTTTAGTTGAAATGGTTATGAGAATTTTTTTGCGGAATTTTTTATCTATACTAGAGGCCCAGTGCACGAAATTAGTGCACTGGCAGGGTCCCTGGCAGCACAGTACTCCCTCCCTTCCCCCAGCCAGCCCCACCCGCTGGTCGAACTCCTGGAGGAACTCCCAGTTGAGAGGACAATTTGTACACTACACTTTTATTATATAGGGAATCCAATATAATAAAAGGCTAACTGGCTAATATGCAAATCACTCGAACGGCTAAATGACCAGTCACTATGCTGCGCACTGACCACCAGGGGGCAGATGCTCGATGCAGGAGCTGCTCCTTGGTAGTCAGTGTGCTCCCACAGGGGGAGCCATGTTCTACAGAAGTGGGCTCATGGCTGCGAGCACAGTGGCAGTGGTGGGAGCCTCTCCCGCCTTTGTGGCAGCACTAAGGACATCCCCTAAGGGCTCCCTGGGTGCAAGAGGGCACAGGCTGGGCTTAGGGACTAAGGGATTCCCCCACCCCCGAGCGCACAAATTTCATGCACCAGACCTCTAGTATTTGCATATGTGCATATAAAATTCATCCTTAGGGAAAAAATAAGACAAAAACACTCCTAAGTTAATTGTTTCCAAACACAGCCAATCACCGGGGAAGCTTTTCTCACATTCCGTAGAATCCATTTTGACTCAATTACTATGTCCTGATCATCAAACAAGTTTGAGAAGCACTTAGTTCATTTTTTTACTTCAATCTTTTTCCGAATAAAAATAACTTTAAGCCCAGCCAGATGGCTGAGTGTCAACCCATGAACCAGGAGGTCATGGTTCAGTTCCTGGTCAGGGCATATGCCCAGGTTGCCAGCTTGGTCTCCAGTAGGGTGTGAGTATAGGAGGCAGCTGATCAATGGTTCTCTCTCATCGTTGTTTCTTTTTCCCTCTCCATTCCTCTCTGAAATCAATAAAAATATATTTTAAAAAGTAATAAAAAAAATAAGCAACTTTGAAAAGATTATCTTATGGGCCCAAGTTGGGCCATTACACAAACCAAATAAATTGAGCAGTTAACACAAAAATAAGATTAGCTTAGCCCTCTAATCATAAGCTTTATTAGTGACCCAATCATCTATGTAAATGATCCAAAAGAAAACAAAGGTATAATTAAGAGTTTATTTGTGACCTTTTAAGCTGTTCAAGTCACCAAGTAACTAATAGCCCCTTCATTTTGACTACCTATATTTTAACCATGCTGAGAAAATTATCACAACTTACTTCTTTCTGAACAGTCAGTTTAACTTTAAGTCTCTTAGAATGGGGCTCAGTCCAAACAAAGCCTGCATCTACAAGCCGAACCTTCAATAAAACACATACAGAATAAAACATAAATTCCCATCTGAGGAGAAAAAGATGAAAGAACAGTTCATTAACTAATACATTTCTTAAGAAATCTGTAATTAGCATCCCTACCCAAACTAACCAGTAAAAAATAAAAATTTAGCATGAAAGGTATGGCAACAAAAACAGCAAATAAATGGACAATCTGCCCTGACCCGTGTGTCTTAGTGGTTAGAGCATCAACCCTCACTCTGAAGGGTCACAGGTTCAATTCCCAGTCAAGGGAATATGCCTTGATTGTAGGCTCAATCCCCGGCACCAGTCAGGATCCATGCAGGTGGCAACCAATCAATGTGTCTTTCTCACATGGATGTTTCTCTCTCCGTGTCTCTCCCCATCCCATCCACTCTCTCTAAAAATCAATGGAAAAATATCCTCAGGTAAAGATTAACAAAAAATAAATAAATAAAATAAAGAATGAGCATTCACTGGAGGTCTTTTTATGTACATAGCTAAAATGGGTATTTTAAAGACAGAGATGAGAGAACAAGAGGCTGTTTCAATAATTTGGAAATTGTAGGTGAGCTGAACTGAGAGGTACTGGAAATAACAGAAGTAAAAAGATCCAAGAGCTATTTAGTAGATAAAATCCATAGGATTTAATTACTAGATATGGAAGGAGGAAAAGAGCATCCTAGAATGATGCTCAAGCTTGGGCATCTAGATAATGCTATTTTTTTGGCACACACAAAAAAATCAGATTTAGCCGAAACCGGTTTGGCTCAGTGGTAGAGCGTCGGTCTGCGGACTGAAAGGTCCCAGGTTCGATTCCGGTCAAGGGCATGTACATTGGTTGCAGGCATATCCCCGGTAGGGGGTGTGCAAGAGGCAACTGGTCGATGTTTCTCTCATCGACGTTTCTAGCTCTCTCTCTCCCTTCCTCTCCGTAAAAAAATCAATAAAATATATATATTTTTTTTTAAATCAGATTTAATAGGGAGAAGATATTACATTTGGTTTCAGACATTTGAGTTAAGAGGATTCATCTATGAGATGTCCAAGTGAAGTTGTTCAGTAGATAAAAATACATTTAGTCTGGAACTTTATGAAGAAATCTGAGCTCTAGACAATGTATTTGGAAGACATCAATGGCAGGTGATAATTTAATCAAGTCCTGGCTGGTGAGAGCTAGATTACCTAGTATAGCTACAGCAATCCAGAATATATTAAGGTTTTACTGTACATAAAAAAAAATTTTTTTTAAACTGACTCTAGAAATAAAGAAGACAAATCAGAAAATAGGGGGAAAAAATTTAAACCTATTAACAAACCCTCAGTAAAATTCAAGAACAGAATGCATCAAGACTTGTCCTGGCTGGTTTGGCTAAGTGAATGGAGCGTCAGCCTGCGGACTGAAGGGTCCCAGGTTCGATTCCAGTCAAGGGCACATGCCTGGGTTGCGGGCTTGATCCCCATTGGGGGACGTGCAGGAGGCAGCTGATCAGTGATTCTCTCTCATCATTGATGTTTCTATCTCTCACTCTCCCTTCCTCTCTGAAATCAATAAAGTTATATTAAAAAAAAATGCAACAAGACTGAAGCTTAAAAATATTACTCCTGGGGGAATCAATACAAAGATAGGAAGATAAAGAAAACTGCCAAGAACACGGGGGAAAAAAGACAAAACAATACAACATAAACATTTAAAAGATTACAAAAGGAAAAAGACAAAGTTTAGCAATGGTTTTATACAAATATTTCCCAAGAAATTAATTGCATATAAAAGTTCTCCAAAGCCGAAACCGGTTTGGCTCAGTGGTAGAGCGTCGATCTGCGACTGAAAGGTCCCAGGTTCGATTCAGGTCAAGGGCATGTACATTGGTTGCGGGCACATCCTTGGTAGGGGGTGTGCAAGAGGCAGCTGGTCGATGTTTCTCTCTCATTGATGTTTCTAGCTCTCTATCTCTCTCCCTTCCTCTCTGTAAAATAACAATAAAATATTTTTTTTTTAAAAAAGATGGAGGCAACACAAGATTAAAAAAAAAAAAAGTTCTCCATCCATAAATAATGAATAACAAATTTGATTGAATATTAGGTCTTTCAAAGCAGGTGGATTTTCACTTTCATAAAAAAGAATATAGCCGAAACCGGTTTGGCTCAGTGGACAGAGCGTCGGCCTGCGGACTGAAAGGTCCCGGGTTCGATTCCAGTAGGGGGTGTGCAAGAGGCAGCTGATCGATGATTCTCTCTCATTGATGTTTCTAACTCTCTATCCCTCTTCCTCTCTGTAAAAAATTAATAAAAATATATTTTTTTAAAAAAGAATATAAGTAACTTTAAAAATGAAATACTTGTAGTAGAATGCTTACCAACAGTATCATTTAATAGTTTACTTTTGAAAAACCTACTTATACAAGGATTTTCTGAAAATGAGATATTTTTTAAAAAGATATTACAAAAAGGTAGCTATTTGACCTACCTTACTCAGAGGGGCTTTGATTTTTTTTAAACACAAAGCAAGAAGTTCCCTGGATTCTAATGCACATTGTATCCAAGTTCCTGGTGGCTGGAAATATCTGAGAGAGATAATATACTGAAACCCAGCCATTCTCAAGGAAAAACAAAAAATTTCCATCTAAATATGCAGATATAATATTGGTTATTAACCAGATATAATAACCCAAGGCTAATCTGAAGCACTTATCCCAAATATACTTTAATAGTTCTAGAAAACTTTCAATTAGAAGTGTAGCTTTAGTTAACAAGATAAAATTCTGGGTATTTGCAAAGGATAAACTAAAATAACCTATTAAAGAGGTCTTATTCTTCAAGCACCAATAAGAGTTCCAGTGAGGATGACAAAAGGATCAAAAGTTCCATGAATCTCAAAATGCCATTAAAATGATTTGTAATGTACTTCTGTAATGTCAGGGAACTGCTTATTTCTCACACTAAAAAGATAAATTAGCCGAAAACCGGTTTGGCTCAGTGGTAGAGCGTCGGTCTGCAGACTGAAAGGTCCCGGGTTCGATTCCGGTCAAGGGCATGTACGTTGGTTGCGGGCACATCCCCGGTGGGGGTTGTGCAGGAGGCAGCTAGTCGATGTTGCTCTCTCATCGATGTTTCTAGCTCTCTATCTCTCTCCCTTCCTCTCTGTAAAAAATCAATAAAATATGTTAAAAAAAATTTTTTTTTAAAAGATAAATTAGTACCACATACTATGTACCAATATAGTTCAGACTATTCATCTATTTCAAGTCCCTTTCCAAATTTTAACTGTAAACCACAAGTTTTAAAATCTTTCATAAAACCCAAGTTAAAATTGAAATTCCTCATGCACATGCTTTAAGTTTTTTAGCCCAGTCCACCCAGGATTTACAATGCCTAGCACATAGTAAGTGCTCAATAAATGCTTGTTAAATACATGATACATTCATGTAGTATGCAAATACTTTGCCATACTTTTCAAGATTCATTCAAAATCTTATACAGGTCTCTTTGTTGTAAACACACACACACAGGTCTTCTGTCTTCAAATCCAGTTTCAATTCAGACCATTCCAGATATGATTTACTGAGCTTTTTCCCTCATCAACTAGTCATTTTAGTTACATGGGGACATTTATAGATGTAATTTTTAAAACACATTGCTAAATTACTAAAAATATAAGGTGCTTTTTTAGCTTCAAGTGACTTAGAGGGGGGGGGGGACTACTATGATAGTAATAGTATGTCTTAAATGGTTCATCCTCTTACAAACATCAACTCGTTATATATTCACTGTATACATCAAACCCACTAATCTCTAAACGTAAAAAGAACAAATTTATATATACCCTTACACATCTTTACCAGATTAGCAGGGAAAACTAAAAAGTACACTACAAAATTGCAAGTTCTAAAATCTTTGACAACAATGACATAAATAAAACTTAATTCTCATGCACTTTATTCATGCACCTGGATGCTCTCCTATATATAACTCTCAACTGTAAGTAGGATGACTAGTCCCGCACCATACCTTTGGCACTGTTTGCAGAAAGACACAGAGACCTGTTTCGGGATGCCTTGGCTGATGTCTACTTTGCTTCGCAGACAGGCCACACAAATATTGGCAGGGTTTGGACTAATTACAACACCACATTCACAGCACAAGCTGAAAGAAAGCATAAAGTTTACAAATTAGATGTCACAAATGCACTGTTACGTTTTGAAAACTACCAAACAAATAAACAAAAGCCTTCAAGTTAAGGCCATAATATCTCTGCCCTAAAAGCAGAAAAAAAAAGAAAAAGAAAAAGAAAAAAAAAGTAATTTCAAAAAGGCAATAAAGAACAACCTGGAATACTGAGATTAAAAGAAAAAAAAAAAAATCAAGGATGACCAAAATTCCAAAAAGCCTCAAAATATATCCAAAGGGTCTAGAGAGTCTGAATTATGTCTAACAGTCCTCAGAGAGCATTACAGCCCAAAGACATTTTTTAAAACTTCAGCATAGCACAGAGACTGCCAAAATATAAACATTTACCCAGAGCAGAAAATTTTCACAGGCTGCAAAGAGTATCATGTTTAGTGGTTCAATGTAACCGATGAGTGTCAGGGTCCTGGATGCACTGGGAGCATGCTGATGATGGTCAAGAATCACTGTTGTTGCCCTAACCGGTTTGGCTCAGTGGCTAGAGCATCGGCCTGCAGATTGAAAGGCCCCAGGTTCCATTCCAGTCAAGGGCATGTACCTTGGTTGTGGGCACATCTCCAGTAGGGAGTGTGCAGGAAGCAGCTGATCGTTGTTTCTCTCTCTCTCATTAATGTTTCTAGCTCTCTAGCCCTCTCTGTAAAAAAAAAAAAAAAAAATCAATAAAATATTTTTTTTTTAAATCACTGATGTTGTCCAAAAGAAATGTTCTATAATCCGCAATGTCCTGTTTGGAGGCACACGTGACTACTGAACACTTGAATTATAGCTCAGCACGTCTGAGGAGCTGAATGATTCATTTTATTTCATCGTAATTACTTTATAGTTAAATAGCCACATCTGGCTAATGGCTATGGAACTGGACAGTCCCCATCTAGAAGAATATAGGATGAATGAATATATATATATATATATATATATACATATATATATATATGAACACTCTGAAAGCAAATATTTGCGATAACTTTCCAAGTAAAAATCAATTCTATTTCCTCAGGAAATAAGAATTTTCTTTTTTCACTTAAGAACTGTCCTCTCAAAAAAAAAAAAAAAAAAAAAAAAAAAAAAGCTGAAACCGGTCTGGCTCAGTGGATAGAGCATCGGCCTGCGGACTGAAAGGTCCCAGGTTCGATTCCGGTCAAGAGCATATGCCTTCGTTGTGGGCACATCTCCCAGTAGGGGGTGTGCAAGAGGCAGCTGATCGATGTTTCTCACTCTCTATCCCTCTCTCTTCCTCTCTGTAAAAAAATCAATAATATATATATATATATATATATATATATATATATATATTTTTTTTTTTTTTTTTTTTTTAAAGCGTTTCTCCCAGTAGGTTTCAGCCCGACTTGAACACCTCGGGGATGCAGGGACGGCGGGACTCACATGTGCCCGGGGGTGCGCTCGGCGGACTCCGGCAGGTACTCCATGGTGCGGGGCCGAGTCTGAAAAGGAAGAGAAGCCGTGGGATCCGGCCTGTGTCCGCCTTCCTCCTCCTCCTCCTCCTCCCGCCTCTCTGAAGGCAGCCACGGCGCCCCCTGGGCCCCTCCACCCGGCCGCGGACCCACGTGTCACCGGGCGCCACGCCGGCGGCGCGGACCGGGCCGCCACGGGCACCCCACGCCTCGGACCCGAGCCGCAGGGGCCCCGGACGCCGCGGCCGCCCGCCCGGGCCCGCGGGAGCCCCCGGACGGCGTCCCTGCGCCGCGGGCCACCCCCGCCCCCGGACCCGCGCCCGCCGGGGAGACCTCGGATGGAGGCCCGCAGCGCACACGCGGCGCGCACGCGGCCAGAGCCGGCCGAGCCCGGGGGTGCGCCCACTCTCGCCCCAGGGACCCCGCGCCACGAAAGCCGGGGCCTCGGCCCCCAGAACCTACTTAGCTCCTGTGGGCAGGACCCAAACTTCTCAAAAGCCGCCCCAACGGCCTCCGCGGCCGGGCCAGTGGAAATCTCGCGATAGAAGGATCCAAATCTCGCGGCTGAGAGTTGGGAGTTAAAGGGCCGGTGTGGGCGGGGAAGGGGGAGGGCACAGGCGAGCAGCGGGGCGGGCACAGGCGAGCAGCGGGGCGGGGCGAGCGGCGGGGCAGCTGCAAGGACCTGGAGGAAAGGCTGCGTTGCCCTGTCCAAAGATGCTTGAGACTTAGATGTACTAATACTTTCCATCTTTCTTATTGGGGTGTCTTCCTTACCGATTTTCTTGGGCCCCACTTAACGCCACCCCAACCTCGCCCACTTTTTCAGATATCCGGATTGGGAGCTTGCTTCTTGGTGAAATGATTATGTAAAAACTATCTGTAAACAGTGTCAGATTACACAAAGAAATTAAACTCCATGGAGGGCAGTGCCTTTGTTACTGTGTTCACCACCTAATGCCTGCCTCATCCTAAATGCTCAAATGGATATTTGTGGAACAGGTGAAAGGAAAAATGTAAGGCATAATTATTTGAGAAGAAGTCTATGCTGTTTTTAGGCCACTCTAATTATTAGAATGCACTTCCTAATAGTGCACTTAATGTTTCCTTATAACTTTATACCTTGAGCATAGAGCAGAACAGACCATGTCTACCCACTCTTTCTCATGGCATAATTCCAAATATTTGAAGAGCACACTTGTATTTTTTCCAAGTGTTCTCACCCATCTTTCAAGGGAAAAGCAAGACCATCTTACAGCAGGTGATCAAAGAAGATCTCTCCGTCATTTCTTGTCCAGGGTACTTAGTCTCCAATTCACTGAGTTTTTTCCAGACTACAATCCATCCTTCTAAGGCAGCCATTTAAAATGCAAATCTGATTTTGTCACCTGCTGTTAATCCTCAGAGATCTCTGATCACCTCCTGAATTATTTCTAATTTTCTGCAAAAAAAAAGACCTTTCAGGATCTGATCCTGACAAATCCTGTCACATTTCTAAGCACACAGACCACTAGAAGGTCCTCACAAGAATTAGTCTACCTTTGTTTATGCCTGGGGTATTCCACCTTAAAGATTAAGCTCGAGCATTCTATGTACATTTCCTATTGCTGCCATAACAAATATCACAAATTTTGTGGCTTAAAACAATACAACTTTATTATCTTACAGTTCTGGAGATTATAGATCTAAAAATAGATGCTCCTCCCCCTTTACATATGGTTGTATAACATCTTGATAGGCAGCATATGCCTCTACAGTAGTGCTAGCAACATTAAGCTGGATCATACATGTTCTATTCTGCATGTTCCACGGACTCACACTACTGGAGAGCAGGCTGGATTTGTTCCCTTTTGGTATTCACTGAGCCTAACACCATGCCTGGCACAAAACACAGCCTCAGTATATCTTGGCAAATTAGTTATCCACTGGATAAAACCTCACAAGAGACTGTTCTTTTTTATATTTTTTCATTCACATTGTCACTTCCCTTAAGTCAAAGACCACTAGACTACTACAGATTGTGTTTATTATTCATTGAAGTAAGTGCAAACAGACCATGTGTAATCCTGGAGTGTTTTAGTAAGAGGGTAGTAGAAAGAAATGTATTATGCTTTAGATTCTCCAAGAGAGTCTAAGAAAGCAAGAATTTGCTGTAGATTAGATGTAGTCAGAAAGCAGGGATGATTCTATTATTGGAAATATCAGTAAATCTTAGAAAGAGGGGCAAAAGGATAAAGCTGCAAGTGGTAATGAAGTAGCAGTCACTCCTTTTGGCCAAAAGAGGGAGTGAGTATCTGGCATTGTGTGGGTAGCACAGTGGTCTTGGATTTATTTATGCTCACACAAAATGATGCAGTGGCTTTGCTTTGTCTCGTTTTATCATGGTCTCAGAGTAACCTTGTCTGAGGTTGGTATTCTATGACATTTTTTATGCCCACCAGGAGAATGACATGGTCTACCTGTGAGTCCAGGCCAGCCTCTGAATGTCAAAGGCAGCTCTTTGTTTCTTTCTCAACATATTCCTTCAATACCCTATTTGATGTGGCACCAAGAGCCACAGTGCCAGGCTTGTTAGGCGCTGGCTATATGACAGTGAACAACACAGACTTGGTCCCTGCCCGCATGGAGCTGACCTTTTATAGGGGAGCTGATATTCTGAAAGACTGGGTACTTTGCTGAGAGTTCTGCAGTGAATGAGTGGCAGGACCAGGACCTGAACTATTGTTTATGTAACTCTGTACCCATGCCCTCAACACCATATCAGGCTGCCTGTCCTGAGACTCAGGCCGTCTATTGTTATCCACAGGCTCTTTTTTTTTTTTTTTTTTTTTTTTAAGAAACTATTTCTTTTTCATCAACCTTAGTTCCATTTTCTGCATAAGAGTATGAGGAAGGAAGAACAGCTTAAAACCACTCAGTGGTTATTTCCCAAGTAAGCAAGTTTGGATATCAGAAAAAAAGTACTTTCTAAAATGTCTGGGTATGCGGAGCAGCCGGGTTGGGTGCGGCCAGGCCCGGAGCAGTGGCTGCCAGGCTGGGAGCGGCCAGGCCCGGAGCAGCGGCTGCCAGGCTGGGAGCGGCCAGGCCCGGAGCAGCAGCAGCCAAGTCCAGAGCAACTAGGTCGGGAGCAGCAGTGACCAGACCCGGAGCAGCTGGTTGTGGAACGAACCAGAGCAACAGAGGCCAGGCCCTGAGCAGCCAGGCCCGGAACAGCTCGCTCCTCGCCTGCCCCCACCCCAAGGCTGCCTCTCAGACATGGCTGGAAACTTTCGCGGGAACTTGAGGGTCTGCTGAATCAAGTGATAAAGGCTTAGATCTGGATGTGTTGAGTTAGTATAGGGCTGGGGTGTTGATCTGTGAGGTTTTACTATCTGAAAAGGGATTTACTATCGGGGAAAGGGAGGGAAGAAGAGACTGAACATAAACTGTGCACCTATGGATGAGGACAATGGGGGATGGGGAGGGGGCGGAGGGTGGGGTGGAAACCTGGTGGAGGGGGGAAGAAATGAGGAACCTTTGTATTAATATGAACAATAAAGATTGATTTAAAAAAATGTCTGGGTATGGAGCTGATGTACTTTAGGGTACTTTTCAGTTAGTTAAACTGATCTTTCAATTAATTATGAAAGGTAGTAATATTGAAGAAATGTTTCCCAGACTGAAAGGACATGAAATTCACAGATGGAAAGGGTCCACCATATTCTCATCAAAATGGGTAAAAATAGGCACCCACCTATCTTCAGATCGTTATGCTGAGGTTCAGGATGCTGGTGATGAAAGAAAGATCCAGGAGGCTTCTGGGGAGAATAAAATAGGGCACATACAGAGGATTACTATCAGAGCAGCGTCAACCTTCTCAATAGCAACACCAGAAACAAGAAAGCAATAAAGAAATATTTTGAGCCCTAGCTGGTTTGGCTCAGTGGATAGAACATCATCCTGCGGACTGAAGGGTCCCAAGTTCAATTCTGGTCAAGGGCACCTGCCCAGGCTGTGGGCTTGATCCCCAGTGGGGGGCATGCAGGAGGCAGCCAATCAATGATTCTCTCTCATTGTTGATGTTTCTATCCTCTCTCTCCTTCTCCCTTTCTCTCTGAAATCAATAAAAAATATATTTTTTTAAAAGAAAGAAATAGTTTGAAAATTCTGAAGGAAAAATATTTCAACCTTCAATTCTATTCTAGGCCAAACTATCAATAAAGTGTGAGTGTAGAATAAAGATCTTTTCACTTGCACCCTCTGAGGAAGTTACTGACAGATCTAAACCAAGAAAAAATCAATGGAGGAAATGGCCCTTTCAACAAATGGTGCTGGAGCAAGTCGATGTCCATCCACAAGCAAAAAAAATAAACCTCCTCAGCTTACGTCTGACCCTTTCTATAAAAATTAACTCAAGCCAAAACGGGTTTGGCTCAGTGGATAGAGTGTTAGCCTGTGGACTGAAGAGTCCCGGGGTTCGATTCTGGTCAAGGGCATGCCTTGGTTGTGGGCACATCCCCAATAGGGGGTGCAAGAGACAGCTGATGGATGATTCTCTCTCATGGCTGTTTCTAACTCGCTATCCCTCTCTCTTCCTCTCTGTGAAAAATCAATAAAATATATTTTTTAAATGAACTCAAAATGCATCGCAGATTTAAGATAAAATGTAAAACTATGAAACTTTTACAAAAACTTGGGAGGAAAATCTCTGATCCAGGACTAAGGAAAGAATTGTCTTTATATTTGACTCTAAAAGCATCCTCCACAAAAGGAAAATTTGGTAAGTTGATTTTAAATGATCAAGATTTAAAGATTTGCGCTGTTGAAAGACACTGTTAAGAAGATAAAAAGACAAGCTACTGAATGGGAGAAAATATGTGCAAACAGTAACTACCAAAGGACTAGTATCTCTTTTTTTTTTAAATATATATTTTTTTATTTCAGAGAGACAGGGAGAGGGAGAGAGAGATAGAAACGTCAGTGATAAGAGAGAATCATTGATTGGCTGCCTGCTGCACACCCTCCACTGGGCATTGACC